CACCAGTAAAATTACAATAAGAACGTAATGGGGGGGGGGGGAGAACCAATTTAAAATACAGGTTAAAATGCAAATTAAAATGCAGCCTCATTTTAAAAGTAGCCCATACATCAAAACCATAAGGGGAGGTAAACATAAGGGTCAGACTGAGTCGAAACCAAAGGCCAGGTGGAACGGCTGTCTTGCAGGCCCTGCGGAAAGATATCAAGTCCCGCAGGGCCCTAGTCTCTTGTGACAGAGTGTTCCACCAAGTCAGGGCCAGTACTGTCCATTTACTGTATTTGTTTTTCCTGATTTTAACTGTAAAATAGTGATTTTCTTGAGTCAAAATGAGAGTACCCCTGAACTATTTTTTATAGAAAAAAAGCACTGCTTGTTCCACTTCAGTAGTCATGGCCTCCCTCCCAAATAACCCTGAGAACTTCTGCATGTTAAAGGTGCTGGGAACTGTTAGATCTATGAAAGGCCTCAATGGTTCCCTGCAGATTTAACAAGCTACAACTCCCAAGATTCTTTGGGTGGGGGAGACCATAGCTTTTAAAGAGGTATAACGGGTGCTTAAACCCATTAATTCTCAAACCTTTCCCTGGAAATGCTTCTTTATGATCCCAGATGACACTGGCTGGTTGGAGAAAGGCACTCTCCTTGTAGAATCTGTTTCTTTGCATATATATTGGGGGGGGGGGGGCTTTTTTGACCTAGGGCTTGATAGCGCAAATTCTTCACACACACCTCTTTCTCCTCCGTGCAGGTAAGTGAAAGGCACTGTCAGAATTGAAGGGCACATTTCAACCAGGCGAAGAAAGGTACAAATTAGGGCATTGAGGAGTGTGTTCTAGTGACAGGGGTTGTGGTCTGGGGAGAGTCCTGAGAAGCGCGGGAGAATCCCCAGTCTGAAGTTCCTGAATATAAATTATAGAATCTCAATGATGAAAGATTAGGAAGCTGTGGGGCAAACTCTTGTTCCCCTTTGTGTCCTGCTCCGAGCTCTTCTGGTTGTTTCACACTTGTTTGTGTGTCCCTTGCTTGCTCTCTTGCCCTGCACCAGCCCCTTCTGTCTGTTTCCCAACCCAAGTTCCCAAGCAGCCAATGGCATTCCTTAGCGGTTAATGTGTCTGTGTGCTTTGTGCTGTACCTGTGATCCTCGCTAAGGTACTCTGCTGGTACATTATGCAGGCATGAGAAGATGTCAGCAAATATGCTGACCTCGTTATAATTAATGGATAGTGGGGTAATGGTTCTGCGTGACTCATTAGATACTGGGGGGAGAAAGGGATCCAGCACTTCAACGTTTACTTTAATTGAAATTCTGAAACATTTATTATTTCAGGCACACTACAGTAACTTGGGTTTTAGAAACCTTAAATTAATGATTTTAGCCACTTACAGGAAGGAAACAAGTGGCTGGGGAATAAGCGAGATTTCAGAAGCTCCAATGTCACGTGCATGGTAAACTTATGCGCCATCCAGTCCCTTAAAGGGACAGGTGTCAAGTATTTAGCCTAAATATCTCATTGCTTTCCAAATCCATAAGTGTCATCATTAGGTAGCGAGTAATATTCCTCAATTCTAAACAGTGTATTGCAGATTAATGAGCAACTGATGCACTTAATAACATGTCAATCATAATACATGTATTTTTGGGTGAAACTGCAGGTAGAATCTGGAGCAGCATTTAGAAACATGAGATGGCAAGTGCCTTAGTCTCTTCCAGAGAGGGATGGCCAAATCCAGCAGCTTCAGTTTCTCTCCATTTCTCGTTTTTCCAGCTGTGATTCATCACATTACTGCATCATTTTGCTTCTTCTTTTTTTAAAAAAAAGGTTATCGCAAAAATGTGGCAACATTTTAAACCTATATTTCTGCTAAATACACATTTCTCTAGTTTCTGGCCTCAATTAAATATGCTGCCTTTGACCTTCAAAGCTGTAAACAGCCTGGGACTATTGTGGTGCAAGAATCAAGGTTGGACTTCCTTGTTATTCCTTCACCAATAGAAGTGTAGTTGGTGAGGACAAGAGAGAGTGCTCTTAATAGGGAATCAAGGCTATTGTCCTCACCCCAAACATGTGGAGAGGTTTCATATGATTGCTTCAGCTTGACCACGTGTTTCTCTCCAGCCACTCTTGTGTTCCTGTACCAGTTATCTAGAAACTGTTACCATTTTGTAACTAAGATACGTTTTACTGCCTCTGCAACTGAATGCTGTATGGAAAAGCACATGAATTTGACCTTTGGAGAGTTGTAAGTAAACCATTTTTAACTTACCAAAAGGTAAAATGGTCTTTTTCTACACTAGGGGAAGTAAGTGGGAAACTTTGGAATGAATCTTAAAGGGCTCTTTTAAGGTTTTACAGTCAATATTTCAATGCTTTACTTTCTGGCTTATTTTGTGATTTTAAATCTCTCCTGGGCTTTTCTCAGCCAAGGGTACTAGCCCCAAACTTAGATCTTGGCACCCAGGAATTCTTTCTATATTGTTTCTGCACCAGCAGAGCTTTCCCCAGTCTGTCCAGGCTCCAGCTCCACGTCTCATGGAAGATTCAAGGTTTCTTTGATTTTGGCTAGAGGCGGCCACACCCTTTCCCATAATGTTCTCCGCATTAGCCCACTGACAGTCAAAGAGTTGTATTCACTACTCTTCCATTTCTAGAAACCAGCTAAGTACGACATAATTACAATGCAGACATGATGACTACCAAAAAGACTCACTTCTGCCCCTTTCTTGTTCTTGGAGTTGAAAGCGGCAGCCAATATTGGTCATACCTGAGTGTTTTGGGTCATAACCTGTAAGCAATATGCTGACAGTGCAGTTGAAAGAGGATTTTATATTTCCCACTATAGGCTATGTTTCTGAAGAGAGCTGGACCTACCTTGGATGGGGCCAAATTCTTCACAGCCTCTTCTCCTCCCAGGCTACCTGTACTCTGCCATGCAGCAATTGCTCATTATTGTAATGCAAACAGCAAGCAGCCTATGATCTATTGACTCTCTTGTAGTGCTTGATTTCCACAAGCAAGCCCATTGAATTTGATTGCTTGCTTAAGAGGCAAAGACAATCCTCATGAGTGGGAGCTGGCAAGCTGAGTTTCTTGGATTGTAGCAACGGCTTGGCAGGGGCTGTCTAAGATTTCGGTCTACTGTGGTGTGCTTAATTAGGAGGCTTCTCGTTTAATAATAGGGAATAAGAAGCAGGGCTAATAAAATAACTACTCTGTTGCCCAGGTGGGGTGAATTTTATGGGCACAGGGAAGTGGAATAATTTCTCATTAGACAGGATAAGGGGGGAAAATAACAAGGGAAAGAAATTGTGAAGGTGATTGTGCACTATGATAGCAATTAAGCAGGAAACCCAATAGGTGCCAACTAAGCAGGTGATTTCTTTATTTTATTTTTCTGTTTCAACAACCAAAGAAAAGGATGTTTGTTAGAGTAATGGTTCCCAATTAGCTAAGTATTGTTTTTCAAAAGCTAAGCCTTTTGAAAATGTTGGTATCTCTATAGTAGTTTTTGTGATGTGAATAGTGCCACAGACCCCTGGGTGGGTTACACAGACCCTTTGGGGTCAGTGGACCACCAACTGGAAACCACTGTATTAGAGGATTGTGTCTAAAGTGGCTTCAGTGGCAATGAACCCTTTTACTCCAGCTGATTCACCAGCTTTGGCTTTTTCCTGGACCAGGACAGCCTGGCCACAGTTTTACATGTTCTGTAACCTCCCACCTCGATTACCGTAATGTGCTTTATACAGGGCTACTCTTGAAAGCAGCCTAGAAGCTGCAACTAGTGCAGAATGCTGTTGCTAACATGCAGACTGACACTTTAGTACATTACCATCTAATACATGACCTTTGGGATCTTCATTGGCTGCCCATACACTACCTGGCCCCATTTAAAGCGTTGATGTTGAACTATTAAGCTCAAAGGGTTTGGGTACCTGGTGGAGCACTTATAACAGTTTGCCCAGGCTTCGGGAATGGTCCTGTGAGCCAGTGTGGTGTAGTGGTTAAGAGCGGTGGACTCGTAATCTGGTGAACCGGGTTTGCTTCCCCACTCCTCCACATGGGTGACCTTGGGCTAGTCACACTTCTTTGAAGTCTCTCAGCCTCACTCACCGCAGAGTGTTTGTTGTGGGGGAGGAAGGGAAAGGAGATTGTTAGCCGCTTTGAGACTCCTTAGGGTAGTGATAAACCGGGATATCAAATCCAAACTCCTCCTCCTCCTTCTTTGCTGGTCAAGAGTGTCTCAGTGTTTGGGGATGTAGGACAGGGCCTTCTTGGTCATTGCACCCTGGCTGTGGAACTCCCTTCTCCAGAAGGTACAGGTGGTTACATCCTTGATGAGCTTCCTTCACCATTTCAAATGTAATTGCTTGCTGAGGCTTATGGTGGACTTGGTTAAGCCTGCTCTGGATCACAGGAGTGTTTGGGGAATCTGTATTTTTTTTACTTGCACGTTGCGGTTTTCAACACCATATTATGTTGGTTGATGGTTTGTTTTATGGAGTGTTATCGGAAACTGCTTTGTGACCATACGGTGGTGAAAAACGGTAGACAAACATTGGAAATAAATGATAAATAGGTTTTGCTGTTCCTCTCGCCCTTCCCGTGATTCTGCTCCTGACTCAAAAAGCTGTGTCTTCAGCTTTGCTTAGGGGGCCTGTATTTTTAAAACAAATGTTGGCAATCCATGTGCTATTGGCAGTAATTCTGACATCAGCATGTCCCTTTTTTGGCCTGCTGAGCACTGGCCTGGCCTTACTGCTTCTTGGGGATTGGCCTGTTTGCATTTGCAGGGAGAAGGCCAGACAGGTTGTGCATTCATAATTAGTGATTTCTTTTTTTCCTAGTTATAAAACACGACAATATTTAAATTCATCGTTTGTGATTTTTTAAAAAATTGTCATCTCTTCTGCTTCTTATGTAGCAGAGAAATTTTATTTTGCATTCCATGCATGCATAGCACAAGGGTTCCCGCAAGCTAGCTACTTGGGGAAGTGGTCATAGCTCAGTGGCAGAGCATCTGCTTTGCATGCAGAAGGTCACAGGTTCGACCCCCGACTGGAAGAGATTCCTGCCTACAGAGCCACTGCCAATAGCCTGATACAGCATAGGTTGGTTTCCCGTGTTATTCACATAGATAAATAACAGCAAAAGTCAGCATAGTTTGATAGGCTGCATATTTAGGAAACTTGAGTTCAAATTCTACCTTACCCACAGGCTCACTGAGTAGTCATGGCTAAAGTCATTGTCTCTAAACCCCATCCTCAGCTCTCTTTCCTAAAATGGAAATGTGTCCTGAGAAGCTCACATAAGGGTTGCAAAGTGCTTTGAATATTTAAAGGGTTTGAATATTTAATTGTGACTACGAACTGAGATTAAAAATTGTGGAATTCATAAAGAAGATTAACAGCTAACACGCTAGAGGAAATGTAAAAACAATACTTCACAGAGATCCTTCCGTTTTAATAGGGAGGCCTGATTTAGCAGCTGTATTATTGCCCTTCTATTTATGAGGATTTCTTATGTGACCTTGGTCAAGCAAGTTAATGTACAGTCACTTGTGCTTCCATTGTGCTAAAATATATTATTGTAAATTGTCAGACACACTCAAGTACTTTGCCGAGGATTTGTATAGAGCTCCATCTGTTTTCACGGGAAGTTATTTCCTATTTTGCCCTGGAGCCTATAGAATTTCAGAGCAATAGTCATTAAACACACCAATATATGTCTGTAGTGAATATACAGTTCGTTTACATTCTAAACATTTTATTGAGAGGGTTCTAGAGATGTAAGAGCTCTCATTCTATGCAGTAGAAAAAAATACATTGAAACTCCGCAGAAATGTAGGTATTGTTTCTGCCCCTGAAACCTCAGGTCGATTGGATTTTTTTGCTAGATATTCAGTGGCCCAGGGATAGACAACATGGGGCCTTCCATATGTTTTGGACTGCAACTCCCATCATCCTCTACCACTGGCCATGCTGAAAGGGGCTGATGGGAGGTGTGGTTTAAAACATCTGGAGGACACCACACTGGTTATCCATGCAGTAGTCACTTGGTAGGCCCTGATTATTTGGAAACATTCCTTTCTGGGGGTCATATGCCAGGGGTTGGTGGGGCCAGAGACATAAGTGTCCAGAGGAATAAATGTGAATATTTAGCCCCTTTGTCTGAGGCTTCCCAGCCCCTTCTGTAAGCTGTTGGAAGATCTAAAACTGTATTCCATAACCATGCTCAGTCCTGTTTCGTCATCTTCTTCAGTTCTTTTTACCCTTTCAAAATGACAGCTCATTTCATGGTGAAGTTGAAAACAACAAGCACACACACACAGATAACTCTCGTCCTCTCAATTCCCTGCTTCACAGCCTGGCGAGAAAATAAGGCACCATATGGAATGTCCAATAAATTCCTGACAACTTCATCTCTGAGAAGGTGGACAAGGGAACACGGGGATCTGCTATCCTTGACTTAATCCTGACCTACAAAGAAGAACAGACTGAAGAAATAGAAGTGGCAGGAACCTTGGGGGGAGGTGGCTGTGTCCTCTTGGAAATGGTGACAGCAGGCGATGTGAAAACTCAGCATAGTCAGGCATATAATCTGAAACTCTGGACAATGGGCTTCAGAGAGCTCAGAGAAAAGTTGGATAGGATGCCATGGCTAGATATTCTGAGGGAGAAAAGCATTCATGAGGGATGGTTGGTTCTGAAGAGCAGAGGGGATGCTTGTCAGATCTGAAGATGACATGCATGAAACTTACAAGATGAAATTCCTGAGATGCATGTGAAGGAATCAAAGGCACAAATACAGGAGGGAGAAGATTTGGCTTGGCAGCAGTACATGTATAAGGGATCTGGGTGTCTTAGATTATCATAAGCTGAACATGAGCCGGTGGCATGACACAGCTGCTAAAAAAAGTGAATGAAATCTCAGGCTGAATTGACAGGAGCTTAGTGTCCAGATCTTGAGAACGAATCATTCTGCTCTGTTCTGTGCTGGTCTTTAAAGATGGACATGGGCAAACTGGAGTGTGTCGTCTGAAAGACAATTTCTAAGTGAAACAGTTGAATGAGTTAAATATAGAGAAGAGAAGAAAGGAAGACATGATAGCAGAATGGCTGATGGAGCAGATTTGTTCCAAAGCAGGACTCTAGAACCAACTTACAGGAAGAAGAAGAAGAAGAAGAAGAAGAAGAAGAAGAAGAAGAAGAAGAAGAGGAGGAGGAGCTTGGATTTGATATCCCACTTTATCACTACCCTAAGGAGTCTCAAAGTGGCTAACAATCTCCTTTCCCTTCCTCCTCCACAACAAACACTCTGTGAAGTGAGTGGGGCTGAGAGAGAAGTGTGACTAGCCCAAGGTCACCCAGCAGCTGCATGTGGAGGAGTGGAAACGTGAACCCGGTTCACCAGATTACGAGTCTACCACTCCACATATTGGCTCTTAGAAAGGAGAATAAGCTTCATGAAGGATAGGCTGCCTTGGGAAGTGGTGGGCTCTTCTTCACTTGGTGTGTTTAAGCAGAGACTAGGCATGGATGCTGTTGCTGCATCCCACATTGCAGACCCTACGTTGAGCTTGGGATTAGATGATCTTCATGGTACCTTTCAGTTCTATGATTCTATGGATCATTTGTCTGAGATCAGTAAATGAATCTCAACTACCTTGGTAAACCATATCACCTCACTACCCAGTAGCAGGCTGGAGATAGCTTAGTGTATTTAAGTTGCAAAACTGATGGCTTTCATAGTCCACCATATGCAATCTTGTGATTTCACAGAGCTTGCTACTTTCTCTGTCTCCCAAGACTGGAGAAAGCTTGATATATAACCAGAGCTGTAAGCGTTGCAAACAAAATCATTTCAAAAAATGCTGATGGGCCAGGAATTCTGTTCAAGTTAATGCTTAAAGTGGGACATAAAGAACATTCATATGTCCATGTAAAAACGCTTGAGAAGGTGGTGGTGTGGGAGGGGCTTGTTCCTTTTGAATGGCAATTGGATGTTCAAGATCATTGTTGAATGAAAGTCCTTCTGAAGCTGGAGGCCTCTTCCAGACTGTCAGAACTTTGTGGATGGGATTCAGCAGCATGCCAGCAAGCTCAGGTTGAGCAGTTGAAGTTGGTTTGGTGCCCTTGCAGAACAATCAGGCTACTCAAGGAAATCAGACATTTTACAGTAAGAAAAGCGATGGTGAAATGCATGGGAGAGAGTGGGATAATATTCACTTAATGTAAGATTGTGATTGATCCGCAAACAAATTTGAGTTAATGCTCTTCAGCTGCTCCCTGTAGGTCTGTGGTGTGGTCTGCCCTTTGAATCTTGAGGCCGCTTTGCAGTTACAAAGGAAATTGAACTTTGTGGTTCTAGAGGTGAGAATGGAGATTGTTTTAGCCATTTCCCCTCCGGCATGGTTTGAAGTTGGGCTGGGCCCTGGACATCCTGTGTCCTGATGAGGAGCTCCTACAGGTCCAGAGCAGTTAATATCCTGCTGCTGCTGATTGCCATTGTTACCAATACCCACCGATGACCAATTCCCTGTGTTCTGTCTAGACCACACTGCAACTGGCATCATTCCACTGTTACCGATGTCATTAGTGCCAGGACAGACCAAAGCAAAATAATAAATAAATAAATTTCAACCGCCCGTACGAAAGTAATGCACAGAATGCTCACTGACATCTTGGCTCCCAAGATCGCTAACCCCCAAACCATGTAAAAGCATTTCTTTTGAAATGTAATATACACTTTGAATGCAAAATGGTAAGCATGTATCTTTCTTCACTTTCGTCGGACTTGTGACTAATGGGTTTATAATTTGTGTGGAGACCTTCTTACTGTATTTGAAATATTATTGATTGCCCATTGCCTTGAGTGGTTTTTAGCAGAAAAGCAATGCATAAATTTCATAAATGAATAAATATCTTGCCAATAGGAAATGATATTACTGTGGAAAAAGAACACACAGGTGTGTGTGCGTGAGTGTGCGGGTGTTTATAAATACCAGTAACAGAAGCCCAAAACTTCCAAAAGCATACACAAATCAATAAACTAGACCACCTTGATGCAAACCACGTCATAAGGCATGCCTTTTCATTATCTGTACTGTAAATGATTTCCTGTGCTGCTTCCTTTGGAACAGGGAGCTTTCTCCATCAATCCAATTAAACTAGCCATTTATTTCAGAGCACTTTTTATGCTCCAGCCCAGCACCATGGATCTGTATGGTTGACAAGAGATCATGCCTCATTTTCCTTTGAAGTGAAGAATGTTGCCTGCTACAAGAGAGAGTGCTTTGGTGGGAAGGGGGATGGGGGAGCAGACATCTGCAGGGCACCACAGCACTGGCTACTCCCTGCACCTTAGCATCTGCCACCTGAGGCAGCTGCCTCTCTTTGCCTCATCGCAGGGCCGACCCTGTTACTAGTGACCTTTGAGAGGAAGGACAGGATATAAATTTAATAAATAAAGAAGAAGCAACCAGCATTCTAGGACTGAAGACAACTTGCAGTCTTGACATGAGAGCCAGCCTGTGTAACAGATTAATATAACCTTTGCCGATCAGGCACAGAGGAAAGCATAATTCATACTTCCTAAGAGCTAAATTTGCATTAACGACAGTTCTGTCATCTATCAAAGCTTTTATAGAATCAGTAGTGAAATGCCTGTCATGATGACGGCAGGGAAGGTGGAAGAAGGTCAGGTGATTTGTGTTGTGGCCCCCTTTAGCACAAGCCAACAGTTGCCTACTCTAGGGGTTAAGGAGAGAGGTTTTGCTTCCCCCGCCAGTTGTTTTCTGGATTGCATCCTACAAAACTGAGTAGGAACTACTGGTGTGTGAAGGACAAAGCATTGGTTTGCATTGAGGAAGTGGGATGGGATGACACCTGCCATCAGCACCAGACATCCTTGGACAGCTCCTACATCCTGGGCAAGGTCGGCTGGCACTTACTCTGGCCCTCCTTTCTGGGTCTGCAAGCCCAATCAATTTCCTGCAATACCTCTAGCGATGCATCATTCCAGGGCACTGTGGGGAACTTAAATGGCCACCTACTGCTCCTACAGCC